CTATTGTGAATGATGGAATATGGGTGTGCACATACCTATTTGAATTCCTGCTCTCAGTTCTTTAAAGCATATACCCAGACATGGAATTACTTGATCATACAGTAATTCTGCATTTAATTTTTTAAGGGATTTTTAAAAAAATATATTTACTTGAGAAGGAGAATGCAAATGACTGAGAATGAGCTAGGGGAAGGGCAAAGTGGAGGAGGGAGAAGCAGGCTCCCCACTGAGCAGGGAGCCCGCTGCGAGACTCTGTCCCAGGACCCTGGGATCATGACCTGAGCCGAAGGCAGATGCCTAACAAACTGAGCCACCCAGGCACCTGAGGAATTTTTTTTTTTTAATGTTTTATTTATTTTACAAGTAGGCAGAGAGGCAGGCAGGAGAGAGAGAGAGGAGGAAGCAGGCTCTCTGCTGAGCAGAGAGCCGGATTCGGGACTCTATCCCAGGACCCTGAGATCATGACCTGAGCCGAAGACAGAGGCTTTAACCCACTGAGCCACCCAGGTGCCCCAGGAATTTTTTTTTTTTTTTTTAACCAGTATTGTCCTTGAAGTGTGAGAAGGGGATGTGGTCTGGGCTGACTGGGACTTATTCCTCCCACTTGGCAGGGGTGGGGGTGGCTGCTTTTTTCCTCGCATCAAAGACTAGATTTTAGATTTGCAGAGTGCTGGGATTGTGGCTGCTAAGCCGACTGGCCTGGAGAGGAGGAGGTTTTGGATTTCACTTTGCACGTCCCTTTTCCACGCTAAGCCAGCCGCTGTCTGCCAGCTCTGAGTGGACCTCTCTCCCTGCCCCCACCCTGCCCTCCTCCCTGCTGGTTAGCTGCTCCAGAGATCAGCCTCATTTCCTGAGCCTCTTGTAGCTGTCAGATCGCAGGCCCTCCCCCGCTGAAACCAGTATTTGCCTTCAGCTTTGGGTAGAACTAGGCTTACCTCAGCCATCATGTGCCCAGTCCTTTGAGGTAATGAGACGCTGAGAGGTTTTCCCAGTAGATATTCCTGGTAGAATAGGGGAGAGCAAAGCCCCTGCTCCCACTTTGCTCTAGTTCTTGGGAAATGGCGGTTCCCAAAGCCTGCGCCCCCCCAGGAATATACTTCATTCCAGGAGGTAGTGAAAAACTGTGGTGTGAGAGGAAGACTGGTTCCTGCATGCACTTAGGATGAGGGATGAGGAAAGGGGGGCTTTCCTCCTTGCCTGTCACATTGACATTGAAGCAGGCTGGGGGTTCTGGATTAGCTGGGACAGTGGGCTGAAGCCTCCCATGGAATGTACCCAGCAGTGACCAGCTGTCTGGACTCCAGACTTAAAAGCGTTATTTCCTCAGACATCAGTTTGTGGAGTGCGTCAGAGTGGGAAGCAGCTGGGTTTTGAATTGCCCTGATCCTCATAATTACCCTGTTGAGTTGGCTGTGGAACCTGGTTTCCCTCAGTCTCACCTGGTGGAGGTGAGGTATCCACATCAGAGTCAGTGGCCCCACACAACCCTGGCCTTTGGGCAAACCTTCACCAGGCACTTGGTTTTACGTGGGGTTTTAATCAGGTTGTTGCTAAGCTAGCCCTTTGTTTTGCACATGTGGACTCTTGGAGTATTTAGAGGGAGCCCTGGGCCTCCCCAAGTCTGACCCTCAAGTTCTTACTTGGGGCATCACTTGGTGTTAATGTGACCTGGGGCGTGAGTGCAGTGTGGTCATAGGCCAGGACATCAGGTGGTGATGCTCAGAATAAGGGTCTTCTTCCAGGTGATGAATATGTTGATTTCTTAAAGCATTGTTATTTAAAAAAAAAATAGTTTAAAGTTTCTTAGAGAAGCCATGTGGACAGTGAAAATTCTGAGCTAATATAAAAACCAGGTCCAGAGGAGGAGCTGGGAGCAGAGGAAGGATGCTGTTGAAGGAGGTGAGGTCAGGAGGTAGGCAGGGCGTGGCTAGATGATCTGGACAGTGACCTAATTTTTTTTTTTTAAGATTTTATTTATTTATTTGACACAGAGAGAGAGATCACAAGTAGGCAGAGAAAGAGGATGAAGCAGGCTCTCTGCTGAGCAGAGATCCCGATGTGGGACTCGATCCCAGGACCCTGAGATTTATGACCTGAGCTGAAGGCAGAGGCTTAACCCTCTAAGCCACTCAGGCGCCCCAGGACTTAATGATTTAGAGCAGAGCTGGCCTCCATCCATCTAGTTTAGTCCATTTGCCCGATTATAAAGTCAGGAAAACAGAGACACGGACAGCTTCAGTGACCTGCACTAATTCTCACAAGTTGGTAGCAACCTGGACAGAACCAGAGCCTCCCTTCTGGGAAATGCACACCACAGCTCACAGAATTGGTCTACCCGTCCCCACCCCAACCCTGAGGATGTGTCCTGGGTTGCAGGACTAAGAGTAAAGACCCCTGCAGCCCAGGGGTTCATTCAGGATACCTGTGAGGAAGGCGTCTGGCAGCCAGAGTCTTCTGTCCAGGACCTGGACAGGCTTGGGAAGCAGCTCCCATGAAGGGCAAGGTTTCAGTAGAGGCTGCTATGATATAAGGTTTGTATCATGGATGTTGAGAGGACAGGAAGTCCTCTGTGTTCATTTTGGTTAAAAAAATCTGTGATTCCTCCAAAAGGAAGTAGAAGCTGAAGTCAAACCTCTTTTGGGGGTGGGGTGTGACGCTAGGGTTCTGTATGAACAGGGTTTGTGCTTTTTAATACATTTGAACCCTTCCCTTCTGTCCTCAGGGATGCTGGGCAAGAGCTAGTTAAGTGCCTTTATAGATGCTTAGGAGGAGGAGACAGTACCTGGCTTTGGCCTCTGACTGTCCTGGTAGGACAGTACAAACCCCAGCAGGGTAACACGTGGTGATCGTATCAGGAGCCCATGAGGTAGCCCAGGGATTAGGGAGACCAGGGGATGTTAGTATAGCTTGTTAGGGGACATGGTAGGAGCCCACCCAGCTCTGTGGCTCTCCCAGCCTATCTGCTAGCCTGTGCTGGGGCCTTCTGTGGACACACACAGCAGCAGAGCTCAGCCCGACCTTTGCGGTCTCTACCTGTACGGAGACAGCAGGGGCACAGCAGGGTCAACAGGACAGCACGGTGCTGGATGCCATCTCCTGCTGGTGCAGCATTCTTAGCCCTGCTTCCTGCGGGAACCTCCAGGAAGCCTTTGCAGCCACCAGGGCCCAGACCTCCCTGAGTGTCTGATTCTGTGGGTCTCTCTTGTTTTTGAAGCTCCCCAGATGGCACGAATGTATAGCCAGAGCTAAGGACACCTGTGAGAGGGCATGTGACCTGCTGGGTCCCAGACATAGAGGATGTGGGAGAGGCAGAGGTGGAGGCAGCTGGGACATAGGTGGATGAGTCGAGCCGGGCACTGGCAGCCCTCAGAGCTGGGAGTGGTGAGTACCTGGTCACTCCAGCCACAGCACCTCTTGGCTGCCACATGGAAAGAACTGGAAACAGTCCCCCTCTAGAGTTGCCTAGGAGGTCTCTGCCGCCTGGCCTAGGTGGTATGGTGCCACCAGTGCCTGGAGCTTGAGCCCCAGACTAGGTATGCTTGGTGGTAGAAGTTGTTAGAAACTCGTAAATAAACAGTGCAGAAGCCACCTGTGGTGGTGACTTTTGGACAGGGCTGGTTGCCGGTGAGTCATGATAAAGGTGATGTAACCCAACCAAGATGGCCTCACGGAAATCCCATTGGCTGTGAAGGCACCCTTTAGAAAGAGTTAAGAAGTGACTGTCACATGAGGCTTGGAGCAGATTGGGCCCTTGTGGGTTAATGTCTTGGTGAGGATTCACTGATTTAGAACAGTTTTGAAAACAGAACTACAGAAAGGCAGGTGAGGATACCCAGGTGGCTCAGTCGTCAAGCGTCTGCTTTTGGCTCAGGTCATGATGCCAGGGTCCTGGGATCGATCCCCTGCGTCAGGCTCCCTGCTCAGTAGGGAGCCTGCTTCTCCTTCTCCCTCTGCCACTCATGCTCTCTCACTCTCTATCTCAAATAAATAAAGAGAAATCTTTAAAAAAAAAAAAAGAAAAGAAAAGAAAGGCAGGTGAAGGGACTTTGTGATTTAACTGAGGAGGAAGGGACAATTGTCTTCAGTTGCCTTTAGGATTGGAGGTGTTTTTTTTTTTTTTTTTTAAGATTTTATTTATTTATTTGACAGAGATCACAAGCAGGCAGAGAAGCAGGTAGAGTGAGAGAGAGAGAGAGTGGGAAGCAGGCTCCCCGCTGAGCAGAGAGCCCAATGTGGGGCTCGATCCCAGGACCCTGAGATCATGACCTGAGCTGAAGGCAGAGGCTTTAACCCACTGAGCCACCCAGGCGCCCCTGGAGGTGTTCTGTATAACCAGAGAGCCCCACACAGCAGGGAGCCGGCCATAGGGTAGGCCACTCTGTCCTCACAGGGATGCTCAGATCGGAGTAAAGGTGGTCTGGGATTTTGCCAGACCAGATGGGAAGTGGGCTGAGAGTCAGCCAAGGGACCAGGGTGGAGTGAGGGGAAGGGGCTATAGTGCCCTTTCCCTGGGTTGGGCCTGGCAGGCCTGGAGCACTGCTCATGGTGGCCAGGGCTTGCTCCAGATCAGCATGATCTGTGCTCCTCACCCCATCAGATCCCCATGGATAGGTGCACAAGGACCACCCCTGATAGCAAGATGTTAGCTAGCATTGGGGGTCCATTTTTCTGTAACGGCTCAGACCCACCTCCAGGACAAGCACAGATGTGCCCCAGACAGTGTCCCTGTAAGCGTCCCTGCAAGCCCGGTCTCATTTTCCAGGGAGCGTGCCACTTTTTTGGCCCCACCTTGCCATGTGGTCTTTGCTCAGCTGGTTGTGAAGGTGAGGTCAACCTACCTAAGGTCCTTGTTCAACACCTTTGGGTGACAGACATCATCAGCCGAGTGCCTGCTGGAACAAGAGGGATGTGGACCCCCCCCAGGCAGCTGGCCCTCCGGCCCCCTGACCCTCTGGCCCCCTTTCCCTGTCTCTAACACAGCTGCTTCTCTACACACACAGATGCATCGTTTGGAACGCCTCCTGGGTATGGCTGTGCTGCAGACCGGGCCGAGGAACAGCGCCGGCACCAGGACGGGCTGCCCTACATCGATGACTCACCCTCCTCCTCACCCCACCTTGGCAGCAAGGGCAGGGGCAGCCGGGACGCACTGGCCTCGGGAACCTTGGAGTCCACCAAAGCGGTGAGTCCCAAGGTGGTAGGGCCAGGTGTGAAATGGGGCTTGGGCTTGGCTCTGGACAGCTGTCCACTTGGTGAAGGTGCCCTGGAGCGCATCTACTCTCTCGGGGGTAAGTAGCCAGTAGGTGATACCAGGAACAACCAGTGGTTGAAGTCACTAAAAACCCCTTCTTCATTCCCCCATCTGGTGTACCTGTAGTTCTGGAGATAGCCTCCCGGGGGCTTTGAGCAGGGAGATGATGGAACAGTCCACTGAGCTGGAAGAGATAGGCAGCACGTGCTGAGGCTGAGAACGCCACCGCCATCCTACTGGCAGGATGTGGTGGCAGCCCCAGCCATGGCGCCGAGGGGCGGAGGACATGGGCAATGTCTGGGCCCTTCCCTGCGCCACACGCAATGCCCTCGCTCTTTTTTACCGAAAGGGCTGCTGTTAATGACTCTGTCCATTTGCCCAGGGTCTTTCCCTTGAGGTCTCATTGTCATTAAAAATCCTGTAGTCACCTTCGCTTTGGAACATGACAGATAGCTTCTCTCTGGTTTGTGTCTGGTGATGTTCCCTCCAGGTTTAAAAATGAGAGGGATCTGCTTTTCTCCATTGTTGGTAGAAAGTGCTAGAAGTATATCTTTTTGCTGCCGCTGGTTCTCTGCTGGGCTGGTGCCTTCGCAGTGGGATTGCTTCTTACTTATGCTCTTGTGGTTTCTAAAGACCCTGGCATTGGGCAGGCTGCTCATCCTGAACTGTGAGGTTGGGAGGGGAAACCCGTGCGTAACAGATATACACACCTGTCTTGTGCAACTTTTTTGTCGTTGTTTTTAAGATTTTATTTATTTATTTGAGAGCTAGAGAGAGACAGAGAGTACAGGTGGTGGGAGGAGCAGAAGGAGAGAGAGAACAGACTCCCTGCTGGTGGGGAGCCAGATCTCGGGACCCTGAGATCATGTCCTAAGCCTAAGGCAGATGCTTAACCGACTGAGCCACCCAGGCGTCCCCATCATGCAGCTTTTTATCCAACATCTGGTTTTGCTGTTTTACAGATTAGGAAACTGAGGTTCAGAGAGGCAAAGTTAGTTGCTCAGAGTCACACAGGTACCAGCTTCGAAGCCTTCCTGAGTTCCTCAGATGACACTTGTGTAACCACCTTGCCTTTATCAGTGCACTCCCTTGGCTTCCTGCTTCACAAGCATGATCTGGTACAGATGGGGATCTTTCTGGTCCTGAATAAGTAGGCTGAGTCCTGAACTTGGGATGAGGCTGCTCCAGGAGGCTGATCTGCCCTCCCTGTGCCCCAGACCCCATGCGGCTTGGCTGCCCGCCCCCACCAGGCTCCTGCTCTCAGACCTCATCTACACTGACTTGGAGTTCTGCCCTCACCTTTTAGCCACAGTTCAGGGGCTTATCTGCGGTGGAGCCTGTCCAGATCCCAGTGCCTTCTCCCTCTTTGGGCGCCCCCATGGGAGCCCATAGACATGTCTCACATCTGTGCCTCCCAGCAACAGCACACAAGAGTCGTGGTTTCTCTACGTCCTTGCCAGTACTTATTTTCTGTTTTTTTGATAGTGGTTATCCTAATGTGTGTGAGGTGATAAGATGGGAATTTAATTGGAAAAGGGCTGTGCAGCCTTGTTCCAGAAGCCCTCTGGTTAGGTGCTTGGAGGCACCTTCCACTGCCCTCGAGAAAGACATGGTTTTGACTTCCTGGTTTCCTTGCCCGTGCAGTGCCCGGACAGTAAGACTTTCTTCTTTCATTTTTTATTTTTGGTTCAAAGAAGACAGTTGTCACTTTCTAGCGCCCACAGCCAGCACGCTAGTCTTGAGACCTCAGGTTCCCTATCCCAACCAGCTGGGTTCAGGGGAATCCCTGCTCAACTTTCCCTACCCTCCCAGGGGGTGCTCCTCTCCCTCTTCTGAGCTTGAGCTCAGTCCCTTCTAGGGACCCTTCTCAGTGAACTCCTGGATGACAGGTCTGTTCTATGAACTCCTGCCCCCAGGGTAAGGTAGGGAGTCAGCAGAGGCCAGGAACCACCTTGCCTGGGGTGCTGTGGGAAGGATCCAGGCCACATTGGGTTGGTACTGGTGACCAAGGTTACCTATGACTTTCTCCAGCCCTGGGCTTTCTGAGGTACCTCCCCATCTTGACCAAGCTGTTTCTTCCTTGAGTGATGACTGTGTGATCCCAGATGGGGACAGAAGGTACAGGAGAGGGCAGGCTGCCCCCCCAAGCAAGAGCCACGAGGCACACATCCACCATTTCTTCATGGCCAGGTGGGGATATGTGTTAGCAACCCCCTTGGAGTTGCTAGGAAGAACAGCAGTAGGCCATTTTGATGACCACTGCTTCTCTCCCCTAGGAGGGCAAAGCTGGCATTACTGACCTGAGGCAGTGTCATGGACACTCCTGGAAGCTATGCATAGAGCTGTGGGCTAGCAAGTAACCTTCCTTCAGCAGTGTCAGGGAGAGGGGTGAGGGTCTGGCGTCATCCCCAGCTGCCATCCTGTGGCATGAGGAAGCAGGGCCCATGGTTTGCCACGTCAGCACGGTCAGTCCTTCTTGGGGTCCTCGAGAGTCCCGACATCATCCCTTCTATTTGTTTATAAGGGGCGACATCGAGGCACAGAGAGGGGAGCCGACATTGTCCAGCAGCCCCTGCCCACTGGGCTCTGGGACACACTGTGCGACTCTGCTCCCACAATGACCTGCCAGGTCCTATCCGCAGGCTACCAGCAAGGGGTAGGCCCGGAAGCACTAGACCTCAGCATGAAGGGGCTGATAACACCTCAGCCCACACTTCTCATGTTCAGGGACACTTCAGGGAGTGGTGAAGCTGGATGGGCCACCAGCCAGGGGCTTCTCGTGGGCGTATTGGGGCTGAGAAAGCAGATACACACTTGTGTACTGTTGCTTTGCAGAAGTGGCCATGCCCATGGACTCTTTGAGGGTTTTGTTTTGTTTTTGGCTGGGGGTGGGGGGGTGGGGTTGATTTTTTTTTTTTTTTTTTTTTTAGAAGGAAACCAAAGTAAACACACATGTTCAATCAGTCACTCCTACTCAGAAGTCAAATTTGCATTTTTTATAAAGGAAGTAAATGCTGGCTTAGGAGTGTTTGAAGACAGACTGACCTGCTCTATAATTTTGCTACCGGCCATCACCACACTGAGTGTATCTGGTCACCCGTTGCGCTCATGGAACAGAAGTTGTAACTCTGACTTATGCTTTCATCTGAGCAACCACAAGTCCATTCACTTTTGTGATTCAGTGGTTAGGTCAGTGGTTCAAATCACACTTCGATTGCATGGGTGCTCAGCGAGGCTTTGCATCAAGCACAGGAGGATAAGTCATGCCTGCACTCCTGTGGCTCATCTTGGCCGCACTGCCCAGCTCTGGGTCCTGGCTTATCCAGGGATACTGTTTGCTCGCACCTGTCCTCCCGGCAGAGCTGGGGACAGCAGGAGTTTGGCCAGCCCACTTATCCTCTTCCTCCTGAGAGCCCTCGCAGGGTGGTTTATCCAGGGGCAGGCACAAATCATACTGGATGTTGGCACTCTTTCTTCAGAGGACTCTGGGGCTCCCCAAGCTCGGGTTCTTACGCAGAGGCCAGCCACTGGCCCTCTGCTGGCTGAGCTCCAGGACGACTGCCAGCCCTGTTGCCAGTGAAGGCATGGCCCCTGCCAAAGAGAAAGACAAGTGTCCTTTTGTCCAGCAAACTGGCTTCCAGCTCCCAGCTGGGAGCAGTCCACCCCTTCCACAGCCGGGTTTTTATACCCTGATCACCCTGCCCCCACCCCCGCGACATTGGGGCTGGGGGTAAAGTGTATCCCTGAATTCTGCCCTGCCATCCATACTCCTGCCACTCAGTTCCAGCTCCTGCCCTTGTGGATCTGGTGGTGGTTCTGTTCACCCAGGTCCCTCTGTCAGCCTTTTCCCCCTTGTCATGCCCAGTTTGTTTTTATCCGCTCTTTCGGCCCCAAATCTGTGTGGTTTGTTCCCTTCTCTACCCCCTACCCCCTCCCCAGCAGAAACACAAGGCCAGCCTTCCAGCTGGCCACGGCCTTTTTCCAGCTGCCCTTCTCGTCTGGCTTCCTCTCCACCAAGATCTCCCTACCATCATGGTCCTGATTGGATTCATGTGCCCTTTCCAGAACTGGCACGAGCCCAGAGCAGGGTTATAAATAACCCTGGCCTTGGCCCTGCCCTTTGTTCCCTCATCTTCTGTGTTTCTTTCCTGCCCTTTCTTTTAAGGTGCAGTTGGCTGGCTTCTGAGCCATCCTTGTCAGCCCCCAGCCCCGTGCCGGAGCTCAGGAGATAATTCCTGGTCCACAGAGAGGTGTCCGCACCCATGTCTTCTCCCCAGTCCAGCACATTCCCCAGGCCAGACGATCCCCTGAGCTGACCACGCCCTTCGGAACGGGGAGAGCTAGTGTTGGCGCCATCCTGCCTGCGTTCTTTTTCCTTCCAGCTTTCCAAATTGTGTGGGTGGGAATGAGACACACTGCCACCCACGTGAGCACCAGCATCTCGTGCTGGGTGGGGCTCCTCCGTGTCCCGTATTCCCCCCACCCACCCACCACACCCCCCTCCGTGCTCACAGTAGCAGGTTTGTTCCTTAGGACACAGCAGGGCGGAGTGGGCACCTGCTGCTGCTCAAAGAGCCCGCTGTCCCCTTCACCTCTACATCTTCCCTTGTTTAGGGCACAAATGGCACCTAGACACGGTGGGAAGCATGTTCAGGGGTAGCTGAGAGCTGCTTCTCCAGCATGCTGCCCCCATTCATGTTGTGACCTCAGTGGGCTAAGATGAAAGGAGGTGTCAGGGTCCCCTACCCTACATGTCCGTGCACCGCATGCTGCACCCCAGGCCCTGGAACGGGCTAAGCTGACAGTTCTGGATCCTGGCACTGGCTTGTCAAACACACAGGGGTTCCAGAAGGAGCACTCAGAGCTTCTCAGAGATACAGCCCGAAGGAGGCCCCAGCCAGGAGTTCTGGATCCCTTCGTGGGTTTGTGTGTTCACTGTGTCTTCCCGGAGCACCTGTGTGTTCCAGGCACTATGCTGGCACAGGAAGTTCCAAGATCAGGCACGGCATGCCCTGGAGCTTTCTGCCTGTGGAGCCACTGCCCAGTGTGCCCTGGGGGAGAGGGCCTTCTGAGTGGGACGGGACCTGAGTGTTCTTTCCCTGGAGTGATGCTTAGCCATGATCATGGTAGCTGCCCCCTACACATGGTTGAGTCCACATACACACTTGGGCGTGCACACATGTACACACATATGCAGGCACCTAGCTCATGCACACTAAGGGATTCCCAGAGCAAAGTGCTGGTTCAGGAAGACTTTTGGGATGGTCCAAGTGGGCAGTGAGGATGTGATACAAGCCCCAGGGACCCAGAAAGCAGAAGCAGATGGGGCTTGGGGATCAGGCCTTCCTTCCCCAATTTACACCCAGGTAGCTGATGCCCAGGGCAGGGGCACAGTTGCCTAAGACCATGGTGCTCCCTGGGCAGGCCTTGCTCTGTGGCCCTGTCCCCCAACTCCTGTCCCTGGGTGCTTCCCACTGGGCCAGCCATCTATACCACACAGTGCCTCTCTTCTGCCAGGCCAGGGAAGTGGAAGGGGCAGCAGGGTTGGGGGCACACAGAGGGGCTATGCTGGGGGGTTCTGATTCTAGGCTTTTTAGAGACACCATGAAGCTTGAGCTAGCTTTAGGTCCTTCCTGGAACCCAGTGGTTCTCACGTAGAGGCTATTTGGCCCCAGAGGACATGTAGCAACATCCGCAGACATTTGTGGCTGTCCCAGCCAGGGGTAGGAGGGGATGCTGCCCAGCACCCTGCAAGGCCCCCCAGCATCCAAAACAAAATCCTTCAGCCCTGGATGCAGCCCTGGATGTCAGCAGGGCCGAGTCAGGAGCCTGCCCCAGATTATTGATCTCCCCTGAGTGGTTCGGGAAAGTGGACCGCAGGGATAACCCTCTGGTTCTACACCCAGGGGCTGCCACGGTGTGGTTGCTCATGTTCATCCGCAGGTGGGAAACTGGTGGCAGAACAGGCAGGGATGTCTGTCACTTTCTCTGGACTACAGTGGGGCCCATCAGAACATGGGCGAGCTGTGGACACAGCCCGTCTCTGATACCGAGTCCCTTGCTGGGGGTCGGGGAGTGTATTGGGGGGAGTGGGCAGGAAGTCACAGAGCAGACTTCATTGCCTTTGGCATTAGCATTGGTGTTGGGTTACTGGGCCACTGTGACAAAGTACCACAGAGTGGGGGGCCTTGCCCTGACTGTTCCACGTCACACTGCCCATTTCCCATTGTCAGACCAAGGGTGGCCCTCAGCTTTGCTGGGTGACCCTCCAGAATTTACAGTGGCCATGAGAGAGTGGTGGGCTTGGCAAGGCTCCCATGCCTCCCTTTATTTCCCCACAGAGACTTTCCCAGAGGCTTGGCCTCAGGCTGTTAATAAACAGGCCTTCCTCTTTGAGAGGGGCCACCTCAGGCGTCATCCCCTAGGTCTGACCTTAGTCTGTTTCTCCTGCAGAGCGAGCTGGACTTGGAAAAGGGCATGGAAATGAGGAAATGGGTCCTGTCTGGAATCCTGGCTAGCGAGGAGACCTACCTGAGCCACCTGGAGGCCCTGCTGCTGGTGAGGAGGGAGTAGGGGCTGAGCCAGGTCCCAGACCCCAGGGCACCAGTCAGAAGGCAGCCCACCCTCCCTGGAGGGTCATTCCACCTCTGTAGAAGCTGGACCTCCCCGCGGGGTGGTGGACACAAGCATAAGACAGGTGCCAAAGCAAGCTGGCTTTGAATTTTTATTTTTAGTGGGAATTTAAAAAGAAAAGCTCATATGGCACATAACCGTGATTTTCTGTGGTCGTACCATGCACCTGAAAAATGGTGAGCCCTCTCATCAGTGCCACCCTCACGGGTCACCTTTGCTGCCTCTCCTGTGCCCTCTTCCAGCCCATGAAGCCTCTGAAGGCTGCAGCCACCACCTCTCAGCCTGTGCTGACGAGCCAGCAGATCGAGACCATCTTCTTCAAAGTGCCTGAGCTCTACGAGATCCACAAGGAGTTCTATGATGGGCTCTCCCCCCGCGTGCAGCAGTGGAGCCACCAGCAGCGAGTGGGTGATCTCTTCCAGAAGCTGGTGAGTGACTCGGAACAGGTGCACAGCTGCCTTCCCGGAGTTCACGGCTCTGCAGGGGTCAAGCCTCTGCCTTGACCTGCTGGTGTGTGTTGCCAAGGGCTCTGGGACACAGAACCCTTATTTTAAGTAGACTCCACACCCAACATGGGCCTTGAACTCATGACCCCAAGATCAAGAGTCACATGCTGTACCGACTGAGCCAGCCAGGCGCCCCTGGAGATTTTTTTTTTTTTTAAGTGGCCTGTGGAGAAGAGACATGGTCAATAAATATTAAAGCAGTGGAAAAAGTGGCCCTAGAGCCTGAAGGAGGGCCCTGGAGGGGTGGGGTGGGGCCGGGAGACGAGCCGCTGTGTGACCCTTAGCTCCTACCACCGGCTGTTTTCAGAACCCAGAGGCGATTTGACGCTGACTTTGAGCATGACACCCTCATGGCTTATAGAAATCAGGACTGGTTCTTCCGGCCAGGTGGTTTGTGACTGCAGAGCCTGGACCCAGGCACAGCCTCGCAATGAAAGGCGGTCTGGCTCCAAGTAGTGGGGTGCGAGGAGGTCCCCAGGTGCCCGTCCCACCTGAGCTAAGGCAGTCAGATAAGGCAGCTCCTATCCTTACCACTGTGGGGGTGAGAAGATAGAGGAACTGTGGGTAACTTGCTGGGACTGAAACATCGGGTTATCTCCAAAAGGAGTGCTTTTCCTGGTACCTTCAGGGGCCATAACCTGAAGGACACAGGTGATGCTGGCTGGATGAGAGAAGAAATATTTCTGAAAGGGCTTACTGAGCCCGTATGGATGAGGAATCTTTTTGGCAGAGGTGGCTGTGGGTCCTGGTTCAGGTCCCAGAGGCAGAAGCACCCTCTCAGGATAGAAAGGGCCTACTGTGAAGGTAGTTCAAGGGCCTCTGTGGCCCTCTGCTGACTACAGGACCCAAGAAACCAAGGATATGGCTTTTAAAAACTCAATGGGACCTGTAAAACCTAGCAATCAGATGAAAGAGGTTGTCACAAGCCAGGCCACATCTGGGACAAGAATTGGCTCAAAGTGCTTCTTCAACCAAGACGTGGGTCAGGTAAAACTTGTCCAGTGGGAGGAAACAGTTAAGGCACTTGTGGGAGGAAGGAGAAAACTCAGATGAGAGCTGTCCGATCAGTGTCTTGTCTTCCAACATGTGTGGTTCCAACATGTGTGGAAAGGAGCCCTTGCCTCCTTTGCGGGTCTGATGCATGGAGCCAGTCAGTCTTTCCAGGAAGAGGCTGTGGAAGAGGAGCATCTGGGTAGGAGAGCCCAGCAGCTGTCCTGGGAGTGTCACTGAAGGCAGGTGCCAGGCAGACCCCTGTGACGGAGGTTCTCCCTCTGAGGATCCCTAACCTGAGCTGAGTCCAGTCTGGGCCCCCTGAGCACATGCTTTTGACCTGGAGCCTTCCCCCTCCCAAGGGAAACCAGTGCTCCAGGGGTAGAGGTGGCCCAAGGTCATAGGCAGAGCACGCCCCCACTGTGCTGCCCAGTCTCCCAGCTGGTCCAGACCCAGTCCTTGCCTTGGCTCACACCTGGGCATGAGTGTTTTGCTCCAAGGTGTGGCCTTCCTGTTGGCAGTCCCCTCTCTCCACTGCCCTGGGCTGCAGACACCTCGGACTCCAGGCCAGAGCAAAGATGTAAGAAACACAGGAAACTTTTCACTTTTTTTATTCAGATTCCTACCACACGAGACCCTTCTTCCTCTGGCCAGAAAATGGGAGGCCATGTTGATGCAGCCCCACCATCTCCGAAGTGCCCCCTCCCCCGTTTCTCTCTGTGTACAGTGTCCACAGGTTTAAACCTAGTAGATTTGGCTCAGCCTGCATCCCTCCTGAGAACTTGAGAATCATGTTGTTGAGAAGAAACTGCACCCAACACACTTTCCCAAATAACATTCTGACATCGCTCAGAAACTTGTCTTTCAAATTGTCATAGTCCGATGAACACCAGAATTTGGGAAGTTTCCTCTGGTTTCCCCGGTGTCCTTGAGCCACCTTTGTGGGTCAGACGCTGCAGCAGACTAGGGAAAGAGGTGGGGCGGCCACGGGATGTCACGTCCCAGGAACCAGGCCCATGAAGAGTGTTCGTGTGTGCTGCCCAGCTGGGTGTAGGGGCACCCTTGTCCCTTTCTGACGGCACGGCGGGGTCAGCTCCGTGTCACCCCAGTAGCCTCCCCTGCTGGGTAAGTCTTGGGACAGAAGGAGCCTGTGATGCCCTGCCCCAGCCGCGGCACCTTCCCTCCACCCCGGGATTTGTGAGCCTGCCTCCCCTTCCTGCGGGAATGGATCGGTTTAGTGCCGCTGCTTGGTGTCTGTTCCTGGCTCAAATTTTGTCAGGCTACTCTTTTGTTTTTCTAATCATTTCCAGCTTCTAGAGAGGTGCACAAATAGTTCAAGAACTCCCATGTGCCAGAGCCACCACTGGTAATATTTTGCCAAGTTTGTTTTATCTTTTCCTCTCTCATTTTTATATAGGTGTGCACACACACACGCGCGCGCGCACACGCGTGTCCTGAATAGTTTGAAAATAGCTTGCAGATAGATCTGCCCTTTTACCCCAAATACTTCATTGTGTATTTGATAAAAATAAAGACAAGCTCTTCCATAACCACAGAGTACAATGATCAAATTCAGGAACTTTCACAGTGGTGAGGCACTGTTACCTTGTCGCAGTCCATATGCAGACTTCTCCCAAGTTAGCCATCGTGTTCTTTTTTTTTTTTTTTTTTAATATTCATTTATTTATTTGAGAGAGAGAGCACGAGTGGGAGGGGTAGGGGAGAGGGAGAGAGAGAATCTCAAGCAGGCTCCACACTGAGCACAGAGCCCAACATGAGGCTCGATCTCTGGACACTGAGATCGTGACCTGAGCCAAAATCAAGAGTCGGACGCTTCACAGACTGCCCCACCCAGGCACCCCCATCACATTCTTTGTAGCCGCCTGCGTTCTCTGATTCAGGATCCAATCTGAGCTCCCAAGATGGACTCAGTGTTCACATCTCTTTTGTTTTCTTCGGGCTATACAAGTTCCTTGGTCTTTGCTTGTCTTTCATTTGCATGTCTTGACATTTTTTTGAAGGGTACTGGCCAGTTTGGGCTTGTCTGAGGTTTCCTCAGGAATGGATTCAGGTTCTGCGTTTCTGGCAAAAACTGAATAAACCACAGCAGTGATGCTGTGTCCTCAGTGCCTCGTATCAGGAGGCACATGATCGCCATCGATCCCATTAACTGGTCTGGCTCCGTTTTGGGTTGGCTAAAAGTGTGAGATTAGATTGCTTGGCACTTGGCAAAAGCCACGTGGAAGATGCGAGCTCCTTTGGGAAAGGGAGAAGAAGTAATGGAAGGGGTTCTCCTCTCTTAGACCTCATATCAGTTTGCTAGGGCTGCTCGTCTGGGCGGCTTGCACAACAGAAATCTATTTCCTCACAGTTCTAGAGGCTGGAAGTCCGAGATCAAGGCACTGGCAGGGTTGGTCTCTCCTGAGGCCTCTCTGCTTGGCTCCAGATGGCAGCAGTCTCCCTGTGTCTTCACGAGGGTCCCTCGGTCTGTGTACTTATCTCTCATGAGAGCCCCAGTCATACCGGATTAGGATCCGCCCTGACAACTTCATCGCCTCTTATGCCCTATCTCTAAACACAGTCGCATTCTAAGGTGCCGGGAGTTAGGGTTTCAACGTAGGAATTTTGAGGTGACGCCTGTCGACAGTAATGTCCCCTCAGGGCTCCTGACCACATTATCTGAAGCAGATAAAAAAAGCACCATAGCTTTTAACCCCAGCTCTGTTCTCAGACATCTGCTGTATGACGTGTTTGTTGACTTATTTATTGTGTATCTCTCCTGCTTCTGGCCCCACTGTGTCTGAGTGATTTGCGGCTGTGGTGACAGTACAGTGCCTAAAGCAGGTCTTCATTGTGGGGGAGGCATTCAGTGAGCCGCAGAGGAGGGAGAAAAGGAAGTGCTCTGGGTCTGACTATTGTCCTGATTGGCACTTGGAGATGGAGTGACCAGTCAGGGTGATTTGTGCAGGAGGGGCCAGGCCGGGCCTCCATGCAGCCCCCACAGGGAGCAGAGCCAGAGACCAGACACCAGACCGTGCCAAGGGCTTACCCAGCATCTGGGACTGTCATCTGAAGAAACATAAAATTCAATATAAATGCAAATGCATTTGGAAACAAAATTCAGATTCAGCACAGAACAAACACCAGGATCAGCTAAAGCTTTAGGCTTCCAGCCCTTGGTCTGCAGTGGGAAATCCTGGCTAGCAGGTTGCCGGGATCCTCCATTTCCCTCCCCAGGCCTGGCTGTGCTGGTACAAGATGAGGGCTGGCTTTCCCTCAGCTACCTCTGAAGGTGACCTGGGGCCCAGAGGTGGTGGCAGCTTCCCCCCCACCCCCACACACCCATGGAAGTTGTCACTCAGTTGGGTATCTGATCAGGAGGGTATGTGAAGAGATCCTCTATTAATACCTTTGATTTGACAAAAGACAAAAATACCTCTCGCCTTGGGGAAAAGGGATAGGGTAGCTGGGTGATGGACAATGGAGAGGGTATGTGCTATGGAGAGTGCTGTGAATTCTATAAGACTGATGATTCACAGGCCTGTACCCCTGAGGCAAATAATATATTGTATGTTAATTTTAAAAATAAATTAATTTTAAAAAATAAAAAATAAAATGTCTCTTGCCTTGCAGCTGGCAGCCAGCATGTCTCCCATATGCCAGGTGTGGCTTGTGGTACCTGGACCCCTTGCCAGGTTTGGGCTGGGCTCATGTCTAGACAGTGGGAGCCCCTCTTCTCCAAGGCCAGCTAGATTGCATGGGCCTTATGTGTCTGAAGGGATCGGTAAGAGTGGAACACTGTGGCCACCCCAGGCCGGGGGCCAACCGCCCTGTCCACTACGGCCTCCTGTGACCAGAATGAGAAGGTGCCTTCCCACCCCACCTATGTAGACTCTCATCCGCGCTCAGGGACAGCCTTGCATTTTAGACGGTGCATTTTACATGGTGCTGGTGGCACCGTGTAAGTGAGTAGAGTGGGAGGAATCAGCAGCTGTGGAAGGGAGCCGTTACCTGCCCAGGGCTGTGAGTCACTTCTCAACGTGTCACTTGGAAGGGGGAACATGCTCAGTGCGTGGGGAGGGGAAGCAGGTGGGAGGCGACAGCAAGGAAGAGGTGAGGTGACTGCAGCTCTGTGCTGTCTGCTGCCCCTGGGCTTTCTCCAGAGCTGTGCACAGAAGCCCATTTCTCAGAAAGATGAGAAGCAGTGGCACCTGCCCTGCACCTGTCCCACACTCTGTTCCTTCCTCCCTGCAGGCCAGCCAGCTGGGTGTGTACCGAGCCTTCGTAGACAACTACGGAGTTGCCATGGAAACGGCTGAGAAGTGCTGTCAGGCCAACGCTCAGTTTGCAGAAATCTCTGAGGTACTCGTGACACTGTTCAGACAGGTGCACCCCTCCACCTCCCCCGGGTGGGACGTGGGCTGGTCGTTGGTACATCATGACCCACGAGAACAAGGCACACCAGACCAAGTTCTGATTGTAAATCTCCGCTCTGTTTCCAGAGGCTTCTGGGTTGGCTCTGTCAGCCCTGTGCGTGGGGGACACAGGAGGAGCAGCCCCATAAGAGCCCTGTGTCCCCCAGGGCCAGGGCCCAATTCTGGGGCTCTGCTGAGTGCCCCAGACATACACTCTCTTGTGCCATCTGTGTGCAGTAATGAGTGTCCATAGTTCTGTCTCGTTAGCGGAGGTCTGGATGTGAGGGTCCTGGACTGACGAGGCACCTGGTCACTAGAAAGCAGCCTAGGAGCTGTGCCGTGCTCTGTTCCTCTGAGGAATGTCGCTTGCCGGGGAGGCTGAGCAACTAATAAGAGGTGTGGGACTGAAGAAAGCTCCAGGCTGGAGCTCCACGAGCACTGAAACCTTGAGCCCTGGAGTGTTAGCATGAGGGGCCTCTAGAGAGCACTTTGGATACAGAGAGGACAAGCAGGCCACCCCTGGACCAGAACCTGCAGCACCGGCCTCTCCAGGCTCTGGAGGGGATTTTCCACATCCTGTGTCTGCCCTGTGCAGTTGGGTGACATTTTCCTCTTTCTGGGCCTGTCATTACTTGTGATGGCTCCAGCTCCTCGGAGCTCTGACTTGCCTTCCCTCCACTAAGCAAGGATTCTGGGCGGAAAAAGTCCATGAGAGAAATTAGCATAAGAAAGATAATTGGAAACTAGAAATAGGTACTGAGTGGGGTCTCCCTTGCTGAGAGACAGTCATACCCTGACTGTCATACCTGGCTTTGTTCTGGGGGCTTTGTGCCGTTTTGTAATTTGTCATGAAGGGGGGTATTGTGGGTGCTGATTATCTCATGGTGGCAGTGGGTGCCATGCTGCTCCTCCAGAGCCTGTGGGGGCAGGCACTCCCTGCCTGGTGCTGCTGGTAACAGGCTACATGCACCCAGGGTTCTATCTAGGCTGGCTCCAGATGTCCCTCCCTCTCTGCTCTGCTTTGCCTAGAGCATTGAGGCCATACCTTTCTTGAGCTCATTCACTTAGCAAGCCCACCACCCCTAACAGCTGGGCTGTTGGTGCAGAATCCAGAGTGACCTTGGCAAATTAGAGACCTAATCCTTTAAGAGCAGGCTATAATTAAAGGGGGCCAAGTTCAAGTCCACCCAGACAGGTTCCTATAGAGGAAGGAGGAAGCAATGATGAGACACCACCCAGGCATCACGTGGTCCCATGGAATCTGAGCTGAGGCAGGGGTGCTGGGAGGGAGATAGCTTTCCCTGGCCCCCGTTAAGCTTGTACCTTGGAGGTGGCATCCACTTGGGTTCTCCACCGTGTTTTTGAAGGAGACCCAGAGACACAGAGCAAAACTAAACCAAAGGAAACAAGCAGCAGGCCATGAGAGGTTGTACTCCAGGGATCAGAGCTCAGATGTGGGGACTGGATGGTCACCTCTAGGATGGGGAGCAGTGGAGCGGTGGCCCTTCATCTGCTCCTGATCCTGAAAACGAGCCAGAGCAGCGTCCACTTAGACTAGAGTTGCCCAAGCTGGGATTTCATGGCATGCCAGCTCCCACACGAGAGATAGAGTTCTGGCAAAAGGAGCTCTGGGTCAAGTTAAGTTTGAGAGCTGTGGGATTAAGCCAGATGTGTAAGTCTCCTTGAAGCAGGACTCCTGGACCTACCCTTGCACAGTGTGCATGGTGCGGCCCAGGGGCACGTGGTGTGAGGGCTCCTCCAGGCTCACGGGAGCATGGACCCTGAGTTTTGCAGGGGCTTGTGTTCTGCTCTCACACCCCCTCACACACACCCCCGCACCCCTTGGGAACTGCTGAGGCAGACGTACAGACAAATAATCACGGTGAGGACCGTTCAACTCTCAAGAGAGGCACCAAAGTGCATTTGTGGAGTTTGGCCCCAGTGAGCTGTAAATACCATCGTTTTTAGTCATGAGACATGGACTATAGCACGAGAGGTTGGGAAAGCCATTTCTGAGCCCCTTCCTGTCCCCATGCTGGTTTTCGTTGCAGCCTGGTAGTGGGATTAACCATAGCTTCTTCCTGGAGGTGATTTCAGGTACACAGGGATCATACATCCTAGTTGCTCTGGGTACATTGGACCCAATCGAGGATGCCTTGATGCTGTTGTGGGAGAACATGACCTACCCACCAAAAAGCTCTGCTCTCCTCCTGGGGACCATAGCCCCTGTTCGTTAGAAACTACAGGCCTGCCTTGCTTTATTGCACTTTGCAGATACTGCATTTTTTACAGACTGAAGGTTTGCAGCAACCGTGTGTTGAGCAAGTCTCTCGGTGCCATTTTTCCAACAGCATTTGCTTGCTGTGTCACATTTTGGTAATTCTTGCAACATTTCAAACTTTTCCATTGCTATTCTATTTTTGGTGATGATCAGTGGTGATATGACTTCCTGAGAGCTCAGATGATAGTTAGCATTCTTTAGCAATAAAGTATTTTTTAATTAAGGTAGGTACATTGTTTTCAGACCTAGTGCTCTTGAACACTTACTTAACAGTAGACTGTAGTATACTGTAAGGATAATTTTTCTAGGGCCTAGAAAACAAAACAAAAAAAATTCACTGGTCTTGCTCTATTGCAATACTCCCTTCTTTGTGGCGGTCCAGAAGCAAACCTACGAGATCTCCCAAGGTATGCCTGTACATTTGGGAAGTCAGGAGAGGGTGGGAGGAGGGGGAATCCAGCGTGGGTCTCAGTGGTGAGGGGGCCTGCCCTGGCCATTTCCAGAGTTGAGTGCTTTTCCAGCCCTCCAGCCTGTTGCACACTGTTTAACTTCTCTGAGAAAGCGATTCTGTGCATTAAGGAAGGACACTGTGGTTGCCTTGTTTTTATAGGCTTCTGGATGTCCGAGGCTCTTGACCAGGGGTGATTTTGTCCTCAGCAGTCGACTGAGTAATGCCTGGGGATTTTTGATTGTCACAACAGGAGGGGGCATGCTGCTGCTATAGGTGGGGCCCTGGGGTGCTGCCCCGTGTCCTGTGATGTCCAGGACAGACCCCCACAGTAAGCAAATCCAGATCTCTGGCCCTGAATGTCAGCAATCCCAGGTGAACCATGGTGCCCAGGGCAGGCCTTGTGTTCCGCCCACCCTGTATTTCATGCTTTGGTCCAGGACACACACACATCCCCAAGACTTGCCTCCCCTAAGGTTCTGTGCAGTGAAAGAAGGGTGAGTTTTCTGCAGAAGGTGGCTGGCCACTGGACTTGCTGCCACTTCAGTGCAGCCTCAGTTGTCCTGTGTAAAAACGTGCTTTTCTCTTTGCAGAACCTGAGAGCCAGAAGCAACAAGGATGCCAAGGACCAGACGACCAAGAACTCTTTGGAAAGTGAGTTCTCTGGGCTGAGGCCTCTTCATGCTGCCCATGGGGGCAGCTGCCATGAGCCGATGGGGTATTTGCTAGAAAAGCAAACAGGGCACCCCGTTGGGTCACCCTCCGGCGACTTTGCTGTTCCAGACTTCTAATAGTGAGACGGAGACAGGGGAAAAGTGGCACTGGGTGTGCTGGGTGGTGAAGGACATGGTCAGGACCAGCCTGCCCCCACCAGTAGCAACCAGGAAGGATGGTAGGAGTTTGCAGACACCCATAAATCAGGCACTGCTGGGTATTTAAAATGTCATCATGTTATCCCCAACGGCCCTGTAAGGAGGACTTTATGTTCCCTTTTTTCAGGTGACAGGACAGATTTAGAATGAAAGGAACTGAGCTGGAACCACAGGTCCTACATGGCCAAGCAGGGGGAAAGCCAGAGCTGTCAGGCTCCCCCAGGCCCGTGCGTCCAGCCTCTTCACTCTGGGCGGAAAGCAGCCTCAGCACTGATAGATCACTTCTTGGTTGCAGTTGTTAGGATAGCATGAAGAATTGCGCTTCCAGAAAACAGCAGACCTGGCTCTGCCAAGCAGAGCTTCACCGTGCTCTGAGTCTCAGCTTCTCATCTAAAATGGGGCTAACGATGCGTGTCTTACGGTAGTGGTGGGAGTCCCATGAGGAAACGCACCTGACATATGTCAGGACACACATGCGCATCTGTGCCCGTCATGGGCTGGGCTCGCCGTCCTGATGGAGAAGTGGGGGCTGCCGAGGCTGGCCAGGGCTCCTGTGCTGCTGGAGGCCAGGTGTCTGAAAACACTTACAAAGCCAAGAACTGTGTCGGCACCTGAGTAAGTTTCTGCTGTCCTCAAAGTCGGGGCTCCAAACTGCGCAGGGATAGGCATTGCGAGTAACATGCTGGTCTGCTCCCAGGAGACTCTCCGGGCCGGAGAGCAGGTCTCCTGCTATGATTGGGACCCTCATCAGCCCATGTGCACCAGGTGCTCATGGGCTCCCCAGCTCCAGGGGGAGGGACGTCAGCTTGGGTTCTGACCAGTAGCTCTGCACTCAGCATTTAATGTCACAGACCGAAAGCTCAAAGCCATGGGCTCCATCTTCTAGGTGCTCTGAGTTGGTGCTTGTCGCTGGTTATGGATTGGTTCCCAGGGCTGCTCTCTCTGCCCAAGCCCTTCCCACGAGGACAGGCAGGCGGGTGGTCTGGGGCTGCTTTCTCTGTGCACGGCCACCTCTCACCCTGCCCATCTCTCTGCAGCCCTGCTCTACAAGCCTGTGGACCGGGTGACCCGCAGCACGCTGGTCCTGCATGTGAGTCCCCCACCTGGGACCGTCTCAACCCTGGGGTTCTTGGCTTCTGATGTTCGTCAGTGTTGCCCACCCCTTACCCCTGTTCCTGCCACACACCTTTATTGATGATGTTAGAAATGAGAGGCTCACAGGGGTGTAAGGGGGGGACAAAGCAGGTTCACAGGGGGGCCTGGGTGCTCTTGAAGAGGAGGTGCCAGGTGGGAGCATCCTGTCCCAAGTAAGAAGGGCCTCCAAGGTAGATGGGGTCGGGGCACTGAGAGTAGGTGCCTTGCAGGGCCCCAAGGATGACCGCTGCCTCCCAGCCTGGGGAGAGGGAGCGTGGGGAGGGCCCGCCTCACTGGGGCTGCTCCTGAAGGCAGCAGGGAAGATGAAACTGGCCCCTAGTACTACTGCCCAGGTGACCCTCTTCACTTATATTTAGAGCAAGTTGTACATGCATTTTTTTTTTAAAGATTTTATTTATTTATTTGACAGAGATCACAAGTAGGCGGGGGGGGGTGCGGGCGGGTGGTGGCGGGAAGCAGGCTCCCTGCCGAGCAGAGAGCCCGATGCGGGGCTCGATCCCAGGACCCTGGGATCATGACCTGAGCCAAAGGCAGAGGCTTAACCCACTGAGCCACCCAGGCACCCTGCATTTTTTTTTTTTTTTTTTTTTAATTTACAACCAAGTCACCTAAGTGCATGAGGTTTCCATTTCCTTTCCTGCTTCCTCCCCAACCACCACCACAGGAATTCTTTCATGCACATACCAACATATGTGAGCATCTTTTTTGATTACACAGAAGGCATCGTGCTATATGTATCATTCCACACTTTGCTTTTTTTTGATATGATGTGGTGGAGATTGTCCCACTTCAGCCCAAACAGCTCTGCCCCATAGAATTTAAGCTGTGTAGTATTCTGCTGAGTGAACTTTTTTTTTTTTATTTGACAGGCAGAGATCACAAGCAGGCAGAGAGGCAGTGGCGGGGAAGCAGACTCCCTACTGAGCAGAGAGCCCGATGTAGGACTCGATCTCAGGACCCTGAAATCATGACCTGAGCCGAAGGCAGAGGCTTAACCCACTGAGCCACACAGGCACCCCAGAGTGCACATTTCTTAAATCTTTTTTTTTTTTTTTTAAGATTTTATTTAAGATCTTTCTTAAGAGACAGTGAGAGAGAGAACACAAGCAGGATGAGGGAGAGGGAGAAGAAGGCTTCCAGCCAAGCGAGGAGCCTGATGTGGATCTTTATTCCAGGACCCCAGGATCATGACCTGAGCCAAAGGCAGATGCTTAACGACTGAGCCTCCCAGGCGCCCCTTAAGTGCACATTTCATAATTCCTCACTATCTTCTGATAAAGAGGGAGATGAGAGGCATGGTGTAGAAGGCTCTGGCTGGTGGCCTGTTGAACAGAGCCTCAAAGACCTTTATCTGTCCCCTCTCCAAGCGTCCTGACAGGAAGAAGCCAGAACCACTCAGAGGTGGCATGGGGGTTCTGGGACCATGAGCACCAGAGCTTTCCTCCAGGCTTATTTCATCTCAGCAGAGGAGATCTGTAAGCTAAGGGGAGTTCGTTTTTCTGAACCAAGGAGCTGTTGACCTTCTGCACGAATTACTTGCATTCCTAGTGGAGAAGGAGTCGGTGTTTCCATCTGTATTCTAAAGAGGTTTAGTCTCTTCTCTAAAGCAGGAGCAGGGAAGGCCAGGTGCTTTCTCCTGAGCTGGCACAGACCAGAGGTCCTGGACAAGGCCAATTCTGCCCCCTAGAGGACATGCAGCAATGTCGGAGACTTTGTTTCTCATCCCAACTGCCAAGGAGGAGGAGTGCCAGCATCTAGTGGGTAGAGGCGGGGATTGGGGAGGGCTGATGTCCTATAGTGTACAGGACAGCCCCCACCACAAGGAATGGTCCAGCCCAGAATGTCATGAGCCGAGGTGGAGAAACCCTGCCCTCGACCCCAAGAGCAGGAGCCCCTGTTGGCAGCTTGCATACAGCATGGACTTGTGGGAACACCATCTAGGTTTAGTACCTGCTTATGGGATGGTGTTCGGCAGGCACTGCCCTCCTAGCCCCGGCCTGTCGGAGAGCTGTCCTGGGTTTGCCTGGCCTGTGTCTGCAGTTTGCACACCGTGGTGCGTGCCAGGGCTGGGCTCCCTCTGACCTGAGTCTTCTCGCCTGACACAGGACTTGCTGAAGCACACGCCCTCCAGCCACCCCGACCACCCTCTGCTGCAGGATGCCCTCCGTATCTCACAGAACTTCCTGTCCAGCATCAACGAGGAGATCACGCCCCGCCGGCAGTCCATGACCGTGAAGAAGGGAGAGGTGAGCCAGCCCAGGGACAGTCATGGTGCGCCAGCCTCCCCACCGGCCAGGGGGACGTTGGAGCCCTCTTCTGGTCCTTAGGAGACTGTGCCTCCTGTTCAGCCTAACACAGGAAACATGGTACATTTTAGAGTGTTGACCCTAAAACCCAGTCCCCAGAGCAGGGTGTCCGGGTGGAGTTGACGGGCTGCTTGCCTCGCCTGGCCACCTCTTTTCCCAGTGTGGTGGGTCGTGTCCAGGCCACGCCTTCTTTTCCCTATACCCTTGTCAGCTCAGGGTCCCCAGCTGAGGAGACCGGTGAGAGAGATCATTTTGTCTGGAGAGATCTAGTTCCTCCTGAGTGTTCTCTTGGTGAAAAACAGTTCGAGGTTTCCCCTCCTATCTGAAGGTAGAACATTCCTGTGAAATCTTTTGTAAGCTGAAATGCTGTAAAATGAAGAGGCTGTCACCATTTGTAAAGCGAAAATCTTCAGGTCTATTTTGGTTACTGAAAACTCATGTTTTTGGGACTCATGTAGGTCTTTGGTAAAGGCAAACTTTTGAATAGTGTGGGAAACCCGTATGACCAGATTTAAGGATTTAAAAAGGAGGAGGAGTGGGAGGTACAAGCAGTTTGTGGGCTTGCTTGTCTTCAGCTAGGAGGATTCTCTCCTTCCTCCCTCTCTCACCGAGAGCCACCCCAGGAGGGGCCCAGTGAGGCGTGGGCAGGTGCCATCCCTGGCAGGCAGCACTTAGTGAGAGAGCAGAGCTGCGTAAATCAGGGAGGCCAGCATCTAGCACAAGTGTGAGCAGCATCAAGGCAAGGGAGACTGACCTGTGGCCACTGGGCTCTTGTGTGGGGATGGGAGCTGTACGGCCCAGGCAGGACACCGCCAGCAGTGAGCCTGATGGTAGCTGCCCCTGAAAGCCACTTCTTCCTCTTTCTTCTGGTTCACGTACCAGGTGCTCGGCACTGACAGCTCACCCTTCTGCAATCAGGGTTTCTCTTCTTCCTCCACCTGGGCTAGCAGGCAGGCCCCTCAGATCTGTCCTCCCCACTCCTCTTTGGGAAGTAGGTACCTGAGAGCAAGGCAGAAAGTTCGCATGGGCTCAGAGTCTCATCAGGCTTAACCAGGAGCGAGGGGCTTGGTCAGATTTCTCGTGGTGGGCCAGGGTCAAGGAGGAGGGAGGTATACCCTCCAGTCCACCCTTCGGGTGGGTCCAGACCCTGGAGCCAGGTCGACGCAGAGATCTGATGCCAACATTGGCATGAACTCACCCACCACATGGCCTGGACTGTGCTTGCTTCTCTTCCCTGGATCTGTTCCCCACTTTTATAACAGGGTGGGTACTCGGACTCAGGCACCCAAAGCTCACGACTCATGGCAATGGTATTGCCGGCAGGCAAACAGAAGCAGTCTCTGAGCTCGTGGAAGGCAGGAGTGGGTCCACAGCACCTCCTAGGGTCTCCACACCCAGTTGTCCGATATCTAGAACCTGGGGGTGGTGGGGTTCAGATCTCCTTTCCTAGGGCAACAGCAGCACCCTGCCCCTGGGTCAGCCCCGCTTCCAGCTTAGGGACTCCGGAGGACTGTAAAGCTTTGGCCTCCCTAACCAGATGTGGGATTTGCTTCTGTCCAGACTCCTTTTGGGTTTGTGCCCAGCTCACCCTTCCCTCCTAGGACACCTCTTTCTCCTCTGCCGACTATTCTGAGAGCGATGTCCTCCTGGGAAGCAAATATGTGAGTCCTTTTCCTCTCAGCTTTTCATACAGGGCTGAGTCTGCCCTCAGCACCCACATCCTGCTGTTCAGGATCCCTGGAGAGAAATACCTTCTTGCTCCTCGCCTCAGTGAAGGTGGCTGCCCTAGAGAATTGAGGAAAATCAAATGTTACCTGGGAGGTGGCAGCCCAGCCCTTGTCCCGCATCTGTTACCATAGGCTTCATTCCCTGCTGACCCATCATCAGGGTCCCAGGGTGACCCTGGGAAGATGACCCAGGAAGTCCGCTGGGGCTAGCCAGTTCATGAAGAGAAGGGCTTTTATCTCCACCCACCTCTCCCCTACGGGATCTGGCCCTGTTGGCCTCAGTGATACTTGCTTAGTGAGAGGGAACACTCGGGTACCTCAGCTAAACAAGGAGAGGGAAGCTAATCCCTTCTGAGAGGTTGTGAGTCTGACTCGCATGCACCTTCTCTCCGTCCCAAGCATGGTAAGGGGGTTGCTGGCCAGCCCAGTATGACAGATAGGTGCCCACGCTCATGATCCCCACCCCTACCATCCCAGGCACAGACATCACTAATCGATCAGCCTGAGGCCATACTTCAGGCTGCCCAACCCAGTTTACAATCCCCAGTGTGGTAGAAAGGGTGCTAGAAGGGCGGTCCCCCAACCTGATTCAGCCCTGCCCACCACTTACCAGTGGTTTTTATTTGGGAAGCCCTTATTTCTTTGCCAAGTGTCTATAATCTGAGGACAGTGTCTCAGGATCTGTAGCCCTCCAGGGGGCCGTTGTGAGACAGAAAGGGCCTCATGACCTCTGAGGGGATGTCTAAGAGCAGGTTGATGATTTGCCCACATGGGCACCATTCACGTTGGAGGTGGTAGGAAAGCACCCTCTAGATCACCAGCCAGGAGAGAATCTGCAGGTCCCGGGAGGGGTGGGGAGCTGCAGGCTGCTTCCTTTTAGAATTTGCAGCTGGGGAGAGTCCGAGATTTGGAAGTACCTATTTCTTTTTCCTGCCTGTGTTCTTGTCTCTAAATTTGGTATATAACATTGACTATCAAGCTTCCAAAGGGAGAGAGAAAGTGGGCTTCTGAGTTCCCCTAATGACTCTGTGAGGTTAGAGGTATTTTCCAGGTGAGGACACTACGGCTCAGAAAGGTTGAATGACTTGCCCACAGTCACACAGCCACTAAGTAGCCAAGCCAGGACATGAGGCCAGGTGTGCCATAGCTCCTGTGCGTCACAGGTGTGTTATGACTTATGATAGCCCCTCCCGCACTCCCCCACACCCTTGCGAACCCACAGGACTGTCCACCCCTCCTGGGTCCTTGTATAAAGAGCTACCTGGACGTAGGTGGTTGTAAGGAGATGTGCCCCATTGGTTTGCCAGAGCTTTAGGCTCTGAGTGGAACCCCATCCTCTGCTTCTCCTGCTGGGAGCATGGTTTGGGGCAGGGGGTCTCTGTTTCTAGCTCTCTTGACAGTTTTCTAGGGAGAGGAAAGGTACCTCCATTGGCCTGGATGTATGGAGATACCCCCACAGTCATTGCTGGCCCTCCCAAGAGGTGGCCTCTTTCTTCCTGCTCAGCCTGGGTCAGTCAGGGCACTGGAAGGCCCCTCATGAGCCCTGAGCTGGGCCAACAGCCCCCGCCCCCCCCTCTGTGGCTCCTGTATCTCATCACCCTTTATAGCCAGTCCCCACAGCTCCAGGGCTGTGCTCTTTGAGGAAGAGGGACTTTGGGCAGCATTACAGGTGCCTGCTTGACCCTGAACTGTAGCTGGCAGATGGTCTCGCCAGCCTGTCTCCTGGCCCTCGCATCCCAGGGGCCGTGAGTGACAGGCACTTCCCAGGAGGACACCCTCCTCAGCCAGCCAGGAGCCGATCCGGACCAAGAGGTCCCGCTGGCACATTTTCTTCCCAGGCCTGGGACCTGCAGGCTGGTGGCTGGTGCGCCTTCATTTAGCTGAATGAACTTTAAGCTGCCAGCTGATTTCCCCTTGTGGCTGCCTGCCTGTCTGTTCTTAGCGCCGCACCATGTGCTGCCCGGCATCCCAGCTCAGGCTGGGAGACAAATGGAATGATCCTGTGTGGTGTCTTGTTTCCCAAGAGCCAGCCTTGTCTTGGAGCCATTTTCTACCCAGGTTCCCGGGTGCCCCAAGCAGCAGAAGGCAGGTGGGCAGGCTGAACAGGAGCCCCCAGGGAGGTGTCGCCGGTGCAGGCTGAGGCCGAGGGGTGGTGAGGCTCAGGCAGAGGAGAGGGGAAGCCTCTGGCTTAAGGATTAAAGAATTGGAAACACCAGACCCTGTGGCAGTTTACAGGGGTGCTGCGGAAGGGGGTGGGCATAAAGACAGCCAAAGGGTTCCCAGCGCCACCAGACCCTGTGTTTGGTGACCTCAGCAGTGCCATCTCTGAGCCTCAGCTTGGTCAGCTGTGGGATGGGGCTGAGCCTAGACCCCGTGTAGTCCAGTTTCAGAGGATGTCCACAACGTGGGGGCCCCATCAGGGCAAGGCTGGTCTCCGTGTCTAGGCCTTTTCTCAACCTTTCATAAAGTTCATAAAGTTCTCCACTTGTCTGGGCCCAGGTTCCGATTCTTCCAGGAACATGGGCGTGTTACTTAACTCTGAGCCTTTCCTTCTGTAAGAGTGGTGGAGCTGGAACCTGCTGCCAGGGACGGTTCAGCCAAGTGCGAGATGTTTCAGGAAGCACTCTGCGCAGGGCCCAGCAGAACACCCAGCCGGTGCTCAGTGGACATTCCTACTGTGCGTCAGCAGCATGCTGCCCCGGGCTCACCCTGCCCTCTATCCAGCAGGCTCCTGTCCCTTCCAGGCAACATCGTGCTCTGACTTCATCCCCCCGATCGGTTGTCTTACGATGATGCATCTCTCCAGGGCATGGGAAACCAGAGGCTCTCTCGGGGACCAGGGAGTGGAGGTGTGCTCTGCAGGGAGGCCAAGTGGGCAGGTGCCAAGAGCCCTAGAACAGTTATAAGGGCAAGAGAGTCGGGTGGGGCCCTCAGCACACACTGGGCCGCAGGGACACTTGTTACTCCACCTGATGAACCTCCAGATCCCAGTGACTTACCCGGCAGCCAGGCCTGCTCTGATGGGCAGTGTCAGCTGGGCCGCTCGCATGCAGCCAGAGACCCCCAGTTTCAGTCCTCACTCTGTGGGCATGGGAATGAGGGGGCCCAGGCTGCCGGCTTCCTCCAGGGCCACACATGCTGAATCTGTCCCACGCTTAGAGCCAAGCCAGGCACCCTCGGCCAGCAACTGATGCCACTTGCTTTGGCCACCTT